TGGCTTATCCAATCATATGCAAGGAGTTTTGATAAGGCCCAGCCTTCAGTAAAGGCAATTCCTATGGCGGGTTCCCAGATATATGTGAGTGGAGCTGGGCGGAGCGAGACATGCATCTGGCTGTTGTCAGGTTAAGTGGGTACAGCTCACTGACGAGTCGTCTACCCGGATCTAACGACTCGGCAAGAGACCCGTGTTAAAATCGCCTCAGATCTGATCGACAGGATGTGGGAACACCAGAGCCGGGTCGCCCTGCTAATTTACGTGATACGTAACATACGGACGTCAACACACCGTGCCAGTTGCTTCTGATCTAACAAGCAAAATCAACTCTGTTTACATTTGATAAACATGGAGCAGCTCTGGTGAGAGGGATTCAGACAGATAATAGAGAGAAGCAATAAAGCACGCTGACTACGCCCTGGCTTCCTGCCATGCTGCTCTCCATTGTTTACTTTCCTGATATCTGTTGTACCGGTGACATCATCAACGCTAACCCGGTATGATGTTGTCACCAGACACACAGCCGCCAGCGAGGGGTTAGACAAGCTTTTATTGCCAGTGGGAAGGGAGTTAAAACATCAATGATACTGATGCCATTTTACTTTATGTGGATGATTTAATTTCAGCTTCCTCTGATGCCATCAATGTTGTTCTTTTATTCACATACCACATTAAATATAATGAACTGAGAGGTAATGCAGCATCTTTCTCTTGTTTAATGAACAGATTGAAAATATACTATTTAGCAATAAATAAAGTTAAACAATAGAAAACTAACAAATCGCCATTAAAAACCCTTTGTTTTAAGGTTTCCATTGTATGGCTTTGCAAGTTATATTTGCATGGCTCTTTTCTTTTTTTTTTTTTTTTTTCATCCCCCCTTACTGGTAATCCTCCATGAAATATATATTCTATTGCAGTGGTAACCAATTTTAAAATCAGCGGGGTCTGAATAAAGAAAATCATCAACCAGTAAAGGTCCAGAGACATTTTCAATTATAATCTGTTACTTTAAACAGAATTTAACACTGAAATAAAATTAGTTTTTTTATGCATCCATGTTTTACATTTCATTGATCGGGTGCAGCCTGGAGCCGGACGCTCTGGAGGGCTTTACCATATTAACAGGAGAAGCAGCGCAAGTGAAGTTAGACACTGCCATCTGACAACATGTAGTAATTTATAAATGTTTTAAATCCAGATTAGCCAGCAGGTGGGTCCAGATCCGGACCCTGGTCCGCTAATCTGTGACCTCTGTTCTAGTGTTTTATTCATGATTTATGCATTTCTGTATTGTTTATCAATTCAAGGGGAAAAAGACCAAAAAGATGGCTTCATTAGAACAGGAAAACACATAATTAACATCAGACTAAAAATTATTATTTGTTAGAACTCTTTTTTTCAAACCAGTTCTAATAATTAAATTGGTAAAACTTCTCAGTAGTGAAGTGTGATAAGAAGCATCACACTGCTGTGCTTCAATAGGGCATCTTCAGTCAGAAGCATCTTCAGCCACTGTAGGACAGACCTCTACAGAAGATCCTTCCTGTACCTATAAGCTTCTACCACTCATTGAAAGAAGACATGTTAAAAACAGGTTAAAAAAATACCGTCTCTTTGGATGTAATACAGTAATTTAGATTTAAATTTAATTATAAATAAAAATACTTTATGAACTGATACTGAGGTTTACATGTTTAGTGATTTTACTGTCTCAGACTTTGCTGTACGTGTGTGAGCCACTAAGAACAATGGTGGTGTTTTTAATAAATGTTGTCATTAATCCACATTTCCAAAATAATCTTTTAAGATTATGCAAAATTTATGGCAAGATGAGTGTGGTTTTATGGATGTATGAATGAATGAATGTTTAATTTAGCTAAATCCAAAAGCATGAAGAGAGAAGATGAGATGCAGATGCAGAAATGGGAGGAGAGGAAGATGCGTGTAACCAGGGGAAAGATGCACTCCCACTGGAGCGAGGAAATCTGAGCAAGTAACGGCAAAAAGATCAAACAAGGGGAGGCAAACTCAGAGTACGTCTAATCTTAATATGCAAGCGTTACTCTCCTCCTGGCTCCAACCCCCACCCCCACCCACGCAGAGCCAGCAGTAGAGGCAGGGAGCCAGCAGAGTCTGCCGAGCAGCAGCCATGACAGACGTGGGTGAGTAGCTTCACACATAATATCATCGTCTGTATGTCTGCTTGGGATGGATAGATAGATAGATGGATAGATGGATGGATGGGTGGGTGGGTGGATGGATAGATGGATGGATGGATGGGTGAATGGATGGATGGATTTTTCAGCATCTCATTGGGCGTCTAGCCTGGTAAAAGTCTGGTCTTCAAGGAATTCGATCAGTTAGGGGTAAGAACCACTTAACAGGAATTGGATTAGTCTCTGCAGGCTTTGTGTTTTACTGCTGCATAGTAAGTACCTGTGCAGTGTTATTGTATACATGCTCACATGTTGCACTGTGGGAGACGCTGCCCTATGCATCAGGAGGGCTTCCTGGAAGATCCCAGTAAGCCTGATTAGGAAACTGCTCCTCTCTCTCTCTACATGGACACATAAACACACCTGGTCACACGACAACAAAAGGACAGGGGCTTTAGGTCCTGGCGTAGCAGGGACTGCCCCTCCCTTCCATTCGAGCTATTTTGGACTCTGTAGGGATTAGCCTAGTAATCACATTCAGCAAGTCGTCCTTCGTTTATATGTGTTCCTAATACAATGTGTTGTGTACTTTGGTTGCTTACTGATTACACCCTCATTCCACGGTTTTAGGTGAAATGGCTCTAGCTGGACTGATCCAAGAGGATTTGCTGCTATTAAACCCAGACACCAAAGTTACAAGCATCTTTATGCTGGACAGTTTCACAAAAACATCTTTCTAGCTTTTTTTTAACCAGTGCAGCTGGTTAGAGGTGACAGGTTTGCTACTGGCTTCTAAAGGATGTGTCCTCCTGCAGAGGAGGCCTGCATTGTTTTGTTAAAGCTAAGGAGATCAAGAAAAGCCAGGCTGGTGGGGTGGTATCTCTTTAGTGCTGCATGGTGAACCTCTAGAGGCAAAGGTAACGATCCAGCCAGACTTTCCTCTGGTCATAAATGTAAATATAGAGAATTAGACAGGACTTCAATGTCCAGTACAGTCTGTTAGAGAGCAGACATCAGTCAGCATCTGGTAAATGAATAACCAGCCTTGGTTGGTGAGCCCTTTGCTTTGTTTTGGTTGTCTCTCATATGAATGTTTGGTTGAGTACATTATGGCCTGTACCGGGACAGGGACTAGTTGGTTGCATATTGCTGGGAAGGATTGCTTATTTCTTTTGAGGTCCATGGTGTGGTCAGACCCACCCGGTAAAAATTGGTTGAAAAAGACATGATTTACTTTCAAAAGACGTCTACATTCAGTTGTAAAAGTGAAAGGTGAAAATGTTGAGGAAATCTCACAAAACATCGTTAACCAGGGCTTGAAAACAGGCAGGAGCGTTAGTCAGACCAAAAGGCATTACCAGGTACTCGAACTGGCCTAGAGGAGTTTTAAATGCCGTCTTCCACTCATCTCCCTCTCTGATTCTGAGGAGATGGTAGGCATTTCTTAGATCCAATTTAGTGAAAACGGTGGCCCCTTTCACGGGTTCAAAGGCGGATGCAAGCAGAGGCAAAGGGTATTTGTTTTTAATGGTTATTTGGTTAAGTCCTCTATAATCAATACAGGGCCGGAGAGATCCATGCTTCTTGCCTACGAAGAAGAAACCGGCACCAAGAGGAGATGGTGAGGGCCGAATAATACCGGCGGCTAAAGACTCATTA